CAGTGAATTATGTGTTTTCATTTTGTTTTGATTAGTGTTAACAACATTTCTATCAAAAAGTGAAGCTTTCAAGAGAGAGAGAGAGAGAGAGGGGGGGCGGCTGGAGAAGAAGAATATATTAACAGTGAATTTTTTAAAGATCAAATAATTCAGAAATTGAAGCTTTCAGAAAGAAAGGGGGAGAGGGCGAGAGGGGGGTGGGCAAAGAAGAATAAGAAACGGATGAAGCAATTCACAAATACTTATCATTCAGGCTTGCTTAGCACACAAGTTTATAGATAGGACTCTGGGAATTGTTTGGGGTAGGGTGTGATATGGTGATGTAGGGAAATTGCTGACATTTCTATACAATTTAACGTTATTTTTGTGACGGTTTTTGCTTTGCCTTGATGTCGCCGTGCTAATCCCTCCATTTTGCTGACCAATAGGGGATAAATGCAACAATTCAAAATATTTTTAGAATATTAACAAATATATGTGGTATTCATATTATTGCAAATGATTGCTCATATCTGAATACTACAAGTATTTTTTCGAGTTTTTTCGAGTAACAATAGATGGCGTACTACGTCTTACTGTGGGTATGAGAAAAATCAGCATTTTTTCCCAGAGCTGCGCGCTTCCTGGATAAAGATCCCACTTGGACAGGTCAAGTAGTCTGATCAGTTAATTAGTTATCACCTATTCTGAATGGCCCCTGAGATGAACAACAACCGTGAGCATTGATGGTTGTACATAATTACTGTTCTGCTAATTACAGTTATAGTTCAGGATGCGGAGAGAGGGGGTGGCAGGAATGTGGCTATCTTCTTAACGGACCAAGATATACACTGAGACTAAAATTGGAGTCATTTGACTCTCTAGTCAGAGTCCAGCACCCCTTGACCCTCATGTGGCTATCTTCTTAACGGACCAAGATATACACTGAGACTAAAATTGGAGTCATTTGACTCTCTTGTCAGAGTCCAGCACCCCTTGACCCTCATGGAGTCAATCTGACTCTAAAATCAGAGTCAAATTACCGGTGGCCGGTGTCTGGATGACCCCTTTCACCGACTCTTTTCGCTCGCTGGACAGTAAGCCTCGTTTCAGTACTTGTGATGGCAAGCATTATATATATGTGTGTGTGTGTGTGTGTGTGTGTGTGTCATGCTGTTTATTACCGGATTTACAAATTGTTTGTTATTGCTGTGTTACATCAAATTCTGTATGGCCTTATGGTTGGAGTGTCCGCTTCCGAAGCTGGAGGAGGCGGTTTCAAGCTCGTCCAGGGACTAAGCATTTCTGATAAACGATACCTGCTGTCTTCCCGTTTGGCACTTTTATTTTTGTTGTTACCTTTTTCATAATGTGTCAAGGAGTCAAAAATTCCTTAATATGGGGTCATGGTGACTCTTTTGTAGAGATAAATCAAGGGATTAAGGGATGTGTAAATGGAATCAATTGTGACCCTCCTGGGGGGTCTGGGAGAGCGTTACTCCATCGGAGTCAACTTGACTCCAATTGGGAGTTATTTTAGGCACCACTGCTGGACTCCAAGTTTGGAGTCACTTGGACTCCGATTTTCTCAGTGTACCAACATGTTGCATATCAATAAAAATCGTTTTAATTTAAACATATTTTCATTTCATATTCTTATTTTATAATTTAATAGTTGAATAAGGAGATGTAACGCTTCAAATGTTTTCTCAGAGAAAGATTCAGACCAGTGACAAAATTAAGTACAACCGCCAACCCATCAAAGATGGCATTTATTCGGTAGATCTAAACTTTGTCTGACGGAATGCGCCTGGGGTTTCATTTTATCAGCCACGTTTTCAAACTAGAGGGTAAAATTTCAATTATGGTACTGTAAGAGGTATCGCTGAAGTGATAATTTTATAAAGAGAGGTGCTTAAACTGGTGTCCTTGCAATCAGTTATTGGTAGTGGGTTCATTGGTCAAAGTGAGTCTAGAAATAAATGTATTGTCATTCTATTCCGGGAGTGAAAATAGCAAACAATGTATACGTAAAAAGATTTCGATGGGAATGAAGAACTTCATAGCATACAGAAAGTTGAAAACTTTAAAAAAAGAAGGACTAGCTGTCAACGTTGACAATTGCCAGAGGGAGATTCCCTGTTGAAACGCTGTTCCTTTTTTTAAATGAACTGTTATTAATGCTCAGGAATGTAGGGCCTCGGGTCATTTTCTTTAAATATGTAAGCAGTTTGCTCTAATCAAATACTTTGACTACCCAAATTAATATAAGAAAAATGAAATCGGCAAATAAGTAATTGGTTAAATTTCGATTTAAGTCTTTCAATGTTTCGAGAATTTAATCAACTGTTTTGCATCTTGGTAATTGTAGCATCCTGTTTTAATCAATAATCATATTTCAGTGTCTGTCGTGTCGCTTTCATCGTGGATTTAGCTGCTTTCACGTAGTTGGCCTAACTTTCTACATATATGTATATGTTGTTGAGATTTCTTTGTAAATTACCAATAATCTCATTTCATAAAAATTCAAATTTTCAATTATCAAATCAAATTATCCCAGTGTCCTTCAATCCGTAATCTGGACAACTTATTTTTTTAAATGATCGGTACAAGCTTTTTTCCCATGACAACACTAACATGCCTGAACATAGTGTTCAGGATGTTACTCACACAAGGACACGACGCAATTTTAATTTGTCTTTTGGGTATTTACTCTCTATTGTTTACTGCGTCACTACCCTCCATCAATAAAACTAACATAACATGTGACGGCACATTATCGGGAATGAAATCAAGGCACATTCTAGAGAGGAAAGAAAGAAAAGCCTGATAGATCGGGAGTTTTTTTTTTTTAGTTCGAATCGGAAAATACGTCACCAAATCGGGGAGATCGGTAGTGCGTTGACAGGCTTGCGCGAGGCGGTTGCAGATTTAAACGTTTATTACGTGTGACATGAAGGTTTTTTCTAACAATCATCATTATTAATTGCCATAGTTTATTCTAAACTCTCGCTAAAATGATGGAACAAACTAACAGAACATTGCATCAGCGATTTCAATAAGTTCAAACTAAGACTTCATATGGTAGTCATATGGCGAAAACTTAACATAAACAAATTACAATTAACCTGTAAAGCCTGAAGGAATATATCTTTGAACCGATCAAATTGTAGAATTTAAATGGCAGGCTTCTTTCGTTTTGCGGCATCCCATAAGTAGGTTTAAAGTAACTTGCCTCCACAGAAAAATCTTTTCATAAAGACCAAACTAAACCGGGTTATGTTTTCTTACGGTAAACCATAGACTGTCTTTAATTTCATTTTGTAACTCATACTTTACAAGCAGAGTATCCATGCTCAAGTGCAACCTTGCCGGACTCGTAATATATAGTGCATGCAAATGCGGTTTTCTTATCCAAACCTGTTCTTTCAGATAAACATGAATGATGGACACGTTTTGAATTGTCATGGTTAGTCAGCTTAACTTAAGAATGACATCCTGTTATGTGAGCACGAACGATTGTGTTGAGGCAAAAGCGATGAAGTTTTTTGTATAAAGCACCGTTTCTCTTTTTTCACTATTTAATTGCCAATAGTGAAGAAAATGCTTTTTTTAAAAAAAGAAGAAAATTTAAACTTAGGATTAAAAACTACTTTTTTTCTAATGAGAAAGATGCCATTTGTCCTAGTATGTATTAAAAAACATTAAACCCTAAAATTTTTTGCCTTGGTCTATCAACTTCCTTATGTTCTTTATTGTATAAATACCGCAGCACTGACAAACCATTTCCCACACGAGAGGTTCTATTGGTAGAGCAAAGAGTGAAACACGTTTCGGAGCTGCAAGCGAACCAAAGGCTGATAAAAGGGTGAGTTGTATACGCCACTGTTTAAGTTGTCTGCCTGTCTTTGCTCTGCACAAATATTGCTTCTTTCTCTTTCTTACTTTCTTTTTTTTCTTTCTTTCCTTTTTTTTGTGCTTGTTGCATAATTTACTTATGATAAGAAACGCTCCTTAACAGCCCCCGAAAGTAAAAGTAAAAGGGCTGTTAAATCTTGTTATCAAGTTACACATTAAGTTTAGAACTGTTTGCACATGAAACATTCCAAAGTCATTTTTTGTCTTCACATCCTGCAAGAAAATGACTCGTCATTTAGAACTACATTTTAAAAATGGGTTTAAAGAACGAATCCACGCGATTTAATGATTCGTGAGTAGGTTAAATTACATTTCTTTCTCGAGGACAATCCGTTTTGACGGAACAGCCACGTATAAATAACCGTAAGGAATCAAAATCGAAATGACACGTTTCCTTTTCGTGCGCTTCCTCAGTATACTGTATGTAAATTCAACAAGTAGGAAAATTTTCTTTCATCGACAGGAATAGTGTTTCAGTCGAGTTCAAATGACCACCGCAATGGTGATGTTACCATTGGCATTCGTTGTGCTTGGAGTACAGACCGTTGTTGGTGATTTATTGGGCCTGATATTTTCTTAACAGACTGATTTTTTTAAAATTTTCAAGTACATACTCTTTTTTATTTTTCTTGTTATTTTTTGTTTACATTGTTTTACTGGATGTTTTTATCAGCTTTGTTTTAGATTTCCTTTTCAGTTATCCAATTCTCTATCAATTCATTGCCTCCGCCAAGGTGACATGTTTTTTTTTTTTTTTTTTTNTGTCTGATTTTTGCTGTGATTACTGCCTTCAGTTCACCAAAAATTAGGGAAATCACCAAAGAGGAAAGTGTTGGAATAATTGACAATTTTGCGCAACGCCGCGGAGGCCATTTAGAGCATATTTTGGAAAGAACATGGCTTTTATGTCAAGCGACCAAAACAACTGTAACTTTGGGAAATGATCATACGCAGACTGAACTTTAAGTTCAGCAACTTTCTTGAAATTTGGTGGTCCTTTTTAAGATTTTATAAATTTTTAATGATTCTGTTTTTTTTTTTTGGTTCCGTCTGTTTGCTTGTTTATTTGCAACAATCTGCAAAAGAAATTGCCTTTGGTAAGATCCTGAAGCGTGATTTTATTATAACATATCACATAAGGCGGAAATTGGTATTAGTCATGCATTGTGGTTTCAATTTTTAATCACGCTGCATTTTGAATGGCGTGCAGTGTTCCAAATCATATTTTCTGGAAAACAGCGATTAACAGACTTCTCAGAAGTATAAATACGATTTCCATTTATGCCCATCCCTGTCGATCACGACTGAAATTCTATTAATAAAGGCATGATCCTCTGGTTATCCATTCCAGTTTCACAAAAAAAACTTAAGTCCGGTTCCCTGGCTAATAGCTTAATTACCAAGGTTACATGGTCACATGCACACATCTTACCCTATCAGGAACAGTGTTACAACACTCTCATGGTCACATGCACACATCTTACCCTATCAGGAACAGTGTTACAGCATTCTCACGGAAATCCTAGTCAAATAATCCAGGGAGCAGATCACGACTTAGTTTTTTTTTTCTTTTTGAAACCGGGGCCTGGCATCCTGGAAGCATTGATTTTGTTGTTTACTTTAGGTTTTTAATTTGTGTGCTTGTTGGGGGGGCAACGATTAAGAAAGTGAAACATTGATAAACATGTTTAAGAATAAAATTTGTTGGCATTTCATGAGTGAAAAAAGAAGATAATAAAAAAGGTTAAAACGGGTATAGAAACTCTCAAGTTGACAAAAAAAGTCAAAAACTTTTAAAAGAACGAAGATTTTCCCAAAGCGGTTGCAGATGGATTATTTATCAGAAGGGCCATTTAAAAAAGATTGGTTAATTTTCTTCTCAAAGCTCAATACTAAATCTTTTTCACAAATAATTAGATTATATTTTTGAGCAACAGGGCTGAAAGAAAGAAGTTAAGTTTTGAAATGAAATTAATTTAAGAAGTGATATTCCAAATCTTCCAAGAGAATGAAGGAAAGACATGACTGATCTGCAGTTTATATAAGTAAAATATTCAGCTGTACTTATTAAAATTATGTTTTCATGGCTGATATTTCTCAAAACATTTCAATTTAAAATAGTGAACCATTTTTTCTTGAATAATACATACGGATAAAATATTTAATATACTCCAGAATTTTTTTACAAATTTTCAGATAGTTAATTCAAATAAAACCAATACTTTTAAATTACTCATAACTTATCTCAATAAAATTCTTATTTCTTCTTATGCAGTATTTTCTGATACAATTATCATTATTATAATTCTTACCGTTACTTTTTACATCAGTAATTAGTTGTCTTTCATGAAATTTCATTTCATTTTCATCTTTTTACAGTTTAACGCAAAATGGAGACCCAAGTGTTGATCTGTTTCTTTGTCGTGCTCTACCTGGCGACTGTCTCGGTCGCAGCTCCTGTGGACGAATCTCAAAGCGTGCAGGACAAAAGTAACGAGGTAAAGATTTCAACTGTAAAATAGAGCTACTGAAATAATCACAATCACCACAAAGTTGCTAAACTATTGTCTTATTTGAACTATGTGTTTTTTCCCTCTTAGATACATTACTTCTTTTTGAAATATGCAGTATGGTTGTCTACCGAAGCATTTTTTTAATTTTTCAACAAAGTGGAAAATGGTCAATAGAGCGATTTTCATCACAATCATTGTATTGCATGAAATTGCACTCTTTGTGCTGTTATTCCATATGACAACTGTCAGATTGCATGGACCTTCTATACACCTGATTCTATCCTCTGCATTCAAAACAATTCATGTATTTAAACGGTTTTTGCATAGAGAAAAATGTCCATTCTTTGGCGTTCAAAAATACATCCAGTTTCACAAAAACATAAGGCACTCAAACTTGAGAAACTTTATTTTAAGCATTTTAAAAAGACTTTAATTCCAGTGAGTAGAAACTCCTTTTAGACAGTCTCTCACATTTTATTGTTTTTATTGTTGTAGGCAATGGTAAGAGCCAAACGTGGATCATGTTTTTGGAGTTGCGGTTCCTATGGTACCTTCTTGACCTGCCCAGGTGGGTTCGTCGTCCGGGGAGCTTGTGGCTCTGGGAAAAATGCGGATTGTTCTCGTACCCACTGCGGCCGAGGCACCTACCACGCCATCTATTGTTGTAATTAGTAATTTCGACAGCCAGAAATGCGAGCAATAGCCGAAGTGCACAGAACATTGCGCAAGAATGCTTTCATTAACCATGCAAAATTTTCAAATGGTTTGATCCATTTTGATGCATTAATTATAAGATATAAACTTACCTGAAAACTGTTTATCTTTGATGTTTTGGCCGGCTTTCACTTTTCACTTCTCAAATGGAAAAAATAAAATTATTGAGCTTCTGAAAATTGCGTGTTGCCGTTGTGATTTTTCCCATTTGATAATATTTCTTCTGTTTGTTTCAGTACTTCACCTGTATTATAAAGGATGCATCTTCGGTGACTAACCCATGCGTCTCTGAAATAAAGGTCTATCCTACCATGTGATATCACAAGGGTCTCTGTAGTATAGCCTGCTACAAAGCAAAGTCGATTTAACCAATTTGAAAAAGACTACTAAAGATCCCTGTGGTCAAGGGATCAAATATGGAAATCAATTTTCAGTGGATTTTCATGAAGTCAGTTCTTCGTGATCCTCCAATACTCAAAATACTGGTTCGAACACCAAAGCATTAGCCACATATTAAATCAAGTAAGCGCTTTTTGATTAAAAGTATCGTACAAGGTTTGAACCTCGAATTAATTTTTTTATTGAAAAAAAGTAATTTCTTCTTACATAAACCATTGCTCAACCAATCCCAGCACTTGGGAAGATGCTTTATATAATTTCTAATTAAATAATCTCACTTTAAATGGCTGACCAGTCATTTAGAACGTCAAGTCTTCCTATATTTTTCAAAAAGAAATATCCATGTCAAGCACTTTGTTTTGAGGGGTTTTATTTGGTCGTATATGAACTGAGAAGGACTAAGTGGTTTTGAGAGATATGCGGGCAATGAGAATATGACTTTTTGACATATTCAAATGCAATCAGTACACTTTTGAAGAAATCGAAAAAAAATGATGATATAATTTTTATTCCTCTTAATTGGCTATTTGATTCACCAGTTTTACACATGCGGACGTACACCTGATCTTGCATGTCATTCTCCGCAATAATTTTACGAAAACGCCTATCCTTCGGCACCAAGATGAACTAATAATAAGAATAATAATAATAATAATAATAATAATTTATTTCCAAGAACTAATAGTTAAAAATCCATATAGAATGTTCAGTAGATTTAACAGGGATAAAATGGGCAGAATGAGATGAATAAATATGAGCAGAATCAGATAGTAAAATATATACATGTAGGAAAAGATAAAAAGCCAGTCAATAAATCTAATTAACAAGATACAGCGTATAATTGCTAAAACTCGGCAATTCAAATTGCAAAGAAATAAAATGTATTTTATGCCTTAATGAGCATCTATACATATACATGTATAAAAATAACCCTTTCTTCTGTTAATCTACAAATTAGTTCTTTTCTAAGGAGTGTTGTACCGTCGTGTTTTTCTGATGTTCGTTGTGCAGCGAAACAACTTGAAGTAATTATTGGATTTCTAGCACTGAGCCTCAAGGCCTTAGAGCTTTTCAGAGCTTTGGAGCTTTTCAATTAATTATTATATGTGTACTGAGGACCGATGTGAACATGGGCAACGCAGTGGTACTGCTTGTGAGAGGGGGGGGGGAGACGACGCTTTTGTCCATGAGCTTGCTGACCAGCTCAGACTTAAGGCAGCTGCAAAGGAGGCTTGTCTACGTCGACTAGCAACAAATAAAAAACGATTTAAGTTTCCTGTAAAACGGGGGCCTGGTAAATTTGAGACCAATCCATATAAGTGGCAATGTGAAGGACAACTTTTTATAAAACATCATGCTTCAAGTCTTGTTCTCCTTTTTTCTATTAAAATCATACAGCTCTTGTCAAACAGGGTTGATGAAAGTTCAATGCAAAGTAGCAATAACATGAACAACGACTCCGGCCAATAATGATTGTATGTAACTACAGTTCCATTATATCATTTATATATGTAATAAACGTAGTCGTGATCAGACCGTCTTAAGAAAAATGAAAATAAGTTTAAACGTTTATATTATGGCTTATTTCGAGGTCAACATTTAAAAATGTCACATGTAATACATGACTATCATCAATGAATTCAAAACATTATAGATTATTATGAAGTAGAATTGTGTACAAAATTTAAAATAATTTTGGCCACGCCTGTTCTGGGCCTTCCCACGTCTACCAAAACTGGTAACGAAATGCGGGTGCGCAGGCTCCTCGTGTTATAAACTATTCTAAGACTTGCACTGAGCATCTTATCAATGAAGAAAAACACATCCACAGGGTAGTGACGGTTCCGTGGTTTTCACTGTCGTCCTATACCGCCAAGCCATTACATGTATACTGACAGTCAATGAAACGCTCAGAAAAACTTTCTGGTACTTTTTTTACCGAGAAACGATTCCAATCATATAAACGAGTACAAATACACTTGTTTGGTCATAAGAGAGTCACCTTGTTTGACTGAATAATGGGTCATATTTCACACGAAAAATGTTATTTTCTTAATGTTCCAAAGGAACTTAAAATATCATTTGATAAAGAAACGATGCGTTTTCATTGGCTGTCAGTATATATTTTCTCTGAGGCGTACGTATCCAGGGGTTTTGACCTACAAATCAAGTTTTCCTTCAAAGAATTTTTCTGAAACTTACAAATACTTACTCGACCAAATTCTTTTACTTGGGTTTATGATGTTTAATACCATTTAATAGAAGAATTTGATTTTGAAGGAATGGCCAGTTATGTATAAACCAAGTCTCTGTGTATATTTCAATAGGAAATATGGACATCAGGCACTTTCTTTTGACAGTTTATAATGTTTTCAAGGTTTACATTGGGAAGGACTCGGCAGTGTGCAGGATATACAGACGGAGAAAATATGACATTGGGACATTTTCAAATGCAAAAAGTACGAGTACACCTTTCAGATGATAATAATGATGATAATAATGATGCAATTTTTATACCATTTAATTGTCTTTTTGGTCAACCATTTTAATACATCCTAAAGATACATGTATGTCACTCGAGGGTCGTATTTTGTACGTGTAATACCCAGGGCCCCTTTCAGAAAACAAACAGAAAACTACAATTAAGATAATTAATTGTATTTATGTAGGAAATGGTTTGTTTTTAGTGGTGGTAATAGCTTTGTTGGTAATCCATCTACGCTTTGTTTATAGGAAGTAGTCTGGGTTTAGGTCTTGTGTCTGCACATTTTGATCTTAGTAGTTGACCAAGGCAAGGTGATAACAGATGTCCAGGGTCAAATTGTCTTAGCTGCTGTGTATCTAGGCACACAGTTAATTTTATATGAGTTTTAGGAAACTACTTCTTGCGAGCTGCATCAGCGAGAAGTCATTCAGCCTTTTAGCTGCGATGATATGTACACGCAATTTCAGCAGCTTCACAGTATTATAATTTCTTGCGTTTCTTTATTTTAATTTTACATTGGTTACCAGCCATCAACTTTTGTGATTTCAAGATTTGGGGACGGCCAGTTTCTTGATACTTGGTGACTGTATTTTCTTCGGATATTATTCTGTTTTTCCAAGCCACCAGTTTTGTTATCAAGTTTCGGCGACGGCTGTTTCCTTTTATTTGGGAGACTTCAACTTCAAGTTCTTGGATCATACACAGGCCAGTAATTTTATATTATCTTCATTTCCCCCTTATTCACGTGTTCTAATAATCAGATTTATAGTCTGTCATGTG